GAAAAGGGTTATATAATATTCCTCTATGACTAAGGAAAGTCATTGAGGCCAGGCATGTAGCAGAGGTGTCCCTATGGAGGCTCATAGAGATCATTGTGTGAAGCTGTGGATTGGAGCCTGGATTGCCTTGGAGGCCCCAAGATATTAGGGATGCTAGAGTAGAGGGATACCTACAGGAGAGAGCTGCTAATAGGGGGTGGAACCAGCCCAAAAGAACTGTGTGCAGTTAACGAAGCTAAAAGAAGTTGGAGACCTAATGAGCTTTTTGATATCAGACATGGAGATGCAGAGTTTGGTGTTTACACAGCTGGTTTTTGGTCTTGCTTTGGTCCAGTATTTCCTCACTATGCTCCTGTCCCTATAATTTGGAACAGTAATGTATATCCTGCTCCAGTATATGTTGGAAGTATGTAACCTGTTTTGTTATTTTGATTTTATAGGGGACTACAGTTAAGAGATTGTGTGAATCTCAGAAGAGACTTTGGACTTTAAGACATTGTTGAAACTGTGATAAATGATGGGGACTTTGAAGCTGGACTAAATGCATTTTGCATTATGATATTGTAACAAGCTTATGGAGTACAGGAAGCGAAATGTTGTAGTTTGAATATAATTGGCCCCCAAAGCTCATAGGGAGTAGCATTATTAAGAGGTGTGCCATTGTTGGAGTTGGTGCGGCCTTACTGGAGGAAGTGTGTCACTGTAAAGACGGGCCTTGAGGTCTCATATATGCTCAAGCCAAGTCCAGTGACTCAGACTTCTTCCTGTTGTCTGTGTGTGCTACCATGTCCCACCCTGATGATAATGGGCTGAACCTCACAATTAAATGTTTTCCTTTATAAGAATTACCCATGGAAGGCCTTACCATTTCTGAGGAGTGGATGGAGGGATAGAAAGGAGATAGAGGGAGAGAACAGGAAGAAAGGAGGGAGGGGAAACTTTGGGTGGTATGTAAAATAAATAAATTTAATAAAAAAGGAATTGCCATGGTGGGCCAGGTGGTAGTGGTGGTACATGGCTTTGTAAGGATGCAGAGGCAGGCAGATCTCTATGAGTTCAAGGCCAGCCTCATCTACAGAGTAAGTTCCAGGACAGGCTCCAAAGCTATACAGAGAAACCCTGTGTCAAACAAACAAACAAACAAACAAACAAACAACAGTTGCCATGGTCATGGTGTCTTTTCCAGCAATAGAAACCCTAATTTGGACAGAAGGGGAGGGCATCTGGGAAGAGGGGATGTTTGTGTGTGGGGGCAGGGAGACTGGAATGAGTGGAGGGAGGGAAACTGGGGTTGGGTGTATTGTATGAGATAAGAGTTTAATTTTAGTAAAAATAAACAACTCAAATAATTTTAAATATTATATGCCTTGTAATATGGTGGTTTGAATAAAAATGGCCTCCACAGGCTCATATATTTCCCTAGTTGATGGAACTGTTTGGAAAAGATTAGGAGATGTGACCTTGTAGGAGGTGTGTCACTGGGGCTGGGTTTTGGGGTTTCAAAAGCCCATGTCATTTCCAATTAGTTTTTTCTGCCCCTCACTCGGACTCCTTGTTGTCATCCCAATTTGTATCACTCAGCTGCTGCTTCTGCACCATGACTGCCCTCTGAAGCTGCCATGGTCCCTTCCATGATGGCCTTGGACTTTTGCCTTCTGAGACTTTAAGTTCCCAGTAAACTCTCTCTCTTCTATAAGTTGCTTTGGTTATGGCATCCACAGAAATAGAAAGGTAACTAAGCCATGTAAATACTACAAAATCCGTGTATCAAATAATTCAAACTAAACATCTCAATTGAAAGTTTGCAGCACTTACTCAGACATAGGGTATGTTATAATTTGTTTCAATGTAATATTTACAATTTGTTTGTTCTTGTACTTTAAGATAATGTAATAGAACTATAAAATAGCACAATTATGAATTGGCGTTGCATTCAATGACACAAATAACCCTAATAGTAAATGTATTGCACATGTAAAACAGACACCAGATGACTGTCATATATCATGTGAGTCTATCTAAATTTACTGTCAATTTATTTACACTTAATGCTCACATTTTATATGTAACAAATGTCTATAAATCTATAAAAAAAGATCTGCAAAGTGCAGCTTCCATATTTCCTTATGATCTGGGTTATGAGTTATATATTTCTCCCCTACAACTTGCTAACCTACAGAGGATAAGCGTCACATACCTCAAAATGTTTTGAAAATTTGTTAACTTTATTTAAAGCTAAGTCAACTCAATACATTCTTACACTTTGTTTTCTCTAGTAAGTGATCAAGGCCACATATTGCATTGTATCTGTCTCCATCTTGTGGTGATTAGAAATACTACTACGTGCGAATGTTCAATTTCTAGACATACATGAGAAGCTGTCCATCTTTGAAGTTTTACTTTGAAATAGATATAAAGAGTTTAAAATAGTACAAATAAAGACACTTCATGACATCACTTTATCAAAATATTTAGATCACTTCTAAATCTCCTTTCTATTATCAGTTGCATATGTATGTGTAGAAATTAATAGAGTATATATGGTACCATATATATGTATATGCACATGATACATACATATATGTCTATGGCAGCATAAGTATTTTAAGTAAATAGTGGTAGTCCATTCAACACAACTCTGTTTTCAGGTTTGTTAGTCTCCTCTAGAAATTGTGTGGCAAAATTTGTAGAATTAGCTTGAACCCAAATTACACTTTCCAAAGTCACAAAATAGGGAAATTGCTTTGTTTGTTTGGTTTGGTTTTTCAAGAAGAGGTTTCTCTGTGTTAACAGTCCTGGCTGTCTTGGAACTCACTTAGTAGACCAAGGCTAGACCCTTCATCCAGTAGCTGATGGAAGCAGAAGCAGACACTCACAGCTAAGCACTGAGCAGTACACCCAGGCTAGCCTTGACTCATGGAGATCTTCCTGCCTCTGGCTCCCAAGTTCTGGGATTAAAGGCATACACCAACACTGCCTAGCTACAAAAAGGTTTATTTCCAACTAGAAATGCTCATTTTTCTTACTTCCTTTCTTACCAAGAAAAGTAAAAGTTTTAAGGGTATACTTTTATTTAAATGAAAGAAAAAAACAAAATGTTCAAAATTACTGAGCCTGTAAAGGGAAGAGTAATTAAACTTGGGTTTGGAAAGTAGGTATGTGTGTGGTATTAAACATTATAAAAATAATTGAATCTCCTTTGGGTTGATTACTGAAGAGAATACTCTTTCTGTATTTTAAAATGTTCATTGGAATTATATAAGAATTGAGAAAGCTAATCAGGAAGGTAAAAAGAAGGTAGATTTCAGAATATTATGAAAGCTAATGGAGCTCACAATTTTGCCAGCAAAATTTTTTTCATTAAAATTTTGTACTTGCTTATTCATTATGAATCAATGAATGCTAATCACTTGTCTACAAAAGGAGACTTTGTTCTTAATTTTAAAGCTCAGATTTCAAAAATATATACTGTATTTCCTCTTCCTTCCCTACCACTGGACTCAAAAGTGAGGGTTATTTCAGGCATTAAGACACATTGCTTTGATATCCAGGGTTTATCGTCTTCTAAAATTCACCATAGTCAAAAGGAAAGATTCTCACCAAACAGTGTCTCCTTCAAGATTGTACCTGTCAACTTATGTCTGAGTAAGAGAAAGCTGCCTAGTTCACTATGGACACTAATGTTAATCATCTAACCCATGCAGAATAGAACATGCTTGGTTTAACCATTCATTTTAAGGTTTCCAACAGTTTTCCTGACTAAAAATATGAATCAATTCTTAATTTCATATACTATACTATACTGGGTGGGATACTACGAAGAGAAATATGACATTTTACTGATTTGGAAGCACTGCTCCAACAGCCACAATATTTACAAACCACAGCTTATTGGTTTTACTAGGAGGTGGGCATAAGGTTTCACATCCATTCTTTTGTGTGTGGATCCAAAGGGGACAGGTTCCAATCCAGCAACTTTATAAATTTACACTTTGCATATCAGAGAGAACTTTGTGGCATGTAGGACATTTATCATCTACCATTCACATGCATAATTGTGTCTTTTTTATACCCATCCATTTTCTGATTATATGCTTGTAGTCAAAATATTTTAAGATAATATAGGTATGGATAATTTGATGCTTAGGGAAAGTGGAGGTCATAATGTTCCCAACTACTGCTGCTTTCAAAGATAGACACTAGGTGCTGGAGAGATGGTTCAGTGGTTAAGAGCACTGGCTGCTCTTCCAGAAGACCCAGGTTCAATCCCTAGCACCACATGGCACCTCTCAACTGTCTGCAACTCCAGTTTCAGAGGATTTGACACCCTTACATAGATATACACGTAAGCAAAACACCAGTGCACATAAAATAAAAATAAACAAATCATTCAAAGACAAACACCTATCACAAACGTATATCCACTATTTATTGTTCTCATTGTTTTGAAATGTACCAATATGGTGTCATCTTGCTTATTTGGGAACTTACTATGTGGCTCACATTGGTCTCAAACTTGCAGCAACCCTCCTACCTTAACCTCCCAAGTACCAGTCTACACTACCACACCCGGTCTCTGTATCTCAGCTTTTGATCCATCTACCTGAAATGCTACCTGCTTTTTTGTCACTTATGTTAGCTGACATAAGAATTCAAATCAATTCAAGATAGCTTTTTAATTTTAGGATAAATTTTCATAAAACATGAAAGGCACAAGAAGACTATATAATCTGGGGTAACTCTTTGTGAAACAGACTTTATGCTTGGCTCTATAATTAACAATTTACTATAAAATACATGAGCTCATTTCCTGGAAATGTTCTTCAGAAAAGACAGTTCCAGAAGGGAGCCATGATTCATGATGGTGTGGTTAGGAAACTCCTCTGATAACCTTCCCATCCCCAAAGATGCTCCACTGTTCAACTCTCAACATTCATGTGTCAATCCACAAGACATAACATCAGACTTGGGGCAGAATGATGTGACAGATGCACACTTACCTTTTTCATTTCCATTTGCATAATTTGGAGGCTTGTTTTTGTCAATGCTGTTAAAGCTCTGACTTCTCCTATTCAGATTGGAGGCTCCTTGAGCCTTGTTGCTGCTGCTAGCAGCTGGCACCCTAGAGGGCCCTGGAAGCCTGAAATAGCATGAGAAAAATTACATCATTATTGTACACTTCAAAAACTGAGGAGAAGGGAAGTGTGAGCATGGAAGAGTTGGTAGGAAACCCACAACACATGGTCTTCTTAGCCGAAAATGATGGTTTAAGGGACAAACAGCTGGACACAAAAGTAAGAGACTGGGAGAAAAGGCTGGATTTTCTTCTTAATAAACAAAGATAGGAAAATCAAAACAAAGTGGCCCTTTAACTATAAAATAATCTTACTCATATAAATAAAAGTTCATGTTAAAATACCATGAAATTATATGACAAGAGTAAAAACGATATTTAACCTTATAGTATTCCTAGCATGTTACTTAGCTATTTACAGTTGGTAAAATTTTTCTTTCAGTGTATGGAACACATTTTTAGCTAATGTAGCTTTTTCTAAGACTTGAAATTAATGGCAAGAATAAATTATTGAACCAAAGGCAAACAGCAATGATATTTAGACTACCTATGCTTAAGCTTATAAGTTGTATTAAAACATGGTGCTACTACCAAGGTCATGATTATATTATATTATACATAGCTGGGCTGTCTCATAAAAAAGGGGACTGAGATATATGTTGGTGAATTTCACATGTTGTCACCTCATAGAACAAAACAGGATGCTAACCTCAGAGGAAAAAAAGTTACTTTGAGTAGAATCACAGTTGAAATATACCTAAGGCAGTTCCAATGATTTTTGTGTATGAAGAACACAAAATGTAATGGAATTATGGAAATGTATGCCATCTCTCTCATCATCAGTGCAGCTTGATAGACACTTGTAACCTGACACTATTTTATTAAGACTATCATTAAGTTTCAATTTGGATCAGTTTCTGTCTTACTATTTTTTCTTTGAAATTTCACTTCTCTATTATTTCATGAACTGTACCTAATTTTTAGTTTATGTTACTATTGCATTTTACATATGTATCACAAGCTCAGCCCACATGAAATAAAACCTAGAACTTAAGGGCTAGCATTGACACTATTGAGATGTGACATAATACTGCCAGCATTGTGGGCGTGTGCTGCCACCGTGTGAATGAGATTGTGTACTGCTCTCAAAATTCTTGTTTGAAAAGAAAGATGGCTTAATCCAAAACGTAAGAAACACAGTGCTGATCTTTTCACAGTTCTTTTTTTTTTTAACTAAAAAATGTATATAGTTTTTTATTGTTACATGTGCAAATTGCCAATCTATTTAGCACAGCATATTTGAACATTATCTCTACTGTACTACATGATTTGAGAAAACAAACCCCTCCCCGAATTAAAAAAAAAAAAACTTATAATAGTAGAACTGCAAAATGCAATGAGCATCAGGAAAACACAAATACTAAAAGGACTTTGATGCTAGAGTTGGTTAAGAGTTTCAAATTTTTGACTGCAATTTAGAGTTTAAACACATGTGGCTAGTAAATAGTCTCTCCAGCTATTCTGCTAGTTTGAGGTTGTGTCATACACAAGATTAGAATCTTTTCCAAATGATTCCAGCTTTTAATTTTTTCTTAAGCAGTTATACAAGGGGTTATAACTACAACATCATAACCACAGACACTAGGAATTTACAATACCAATGACTACTCTCTACAGAGAGAAGTCAAATAACTAATTGGGCCAAATGTTCCAGTCCCAATAAATATGAGAGCAATTTCTGTAGACATAACCATAGACTTTGAAATTCATTCCAAACTCATGTGTAAACAGTTTGTCCTCAAGCTTGCAATGAAACTTGACCCACTTCTAGAAAGCAATTAAGATGCATTTTAATCTTTACTGTGACCCATGAAGTTAAGTGATCTTCAGTCCTCAGAAGAACAAATTAAAACAAATTAAAAGATACATTTGCTCTTCTCATTACCCTAATTTGACAGGCAGCCAGAGCCTCCAGATCATTCATCAAAGCAATAAAAAGGGAAATGAGATGGAGAAAAAGAGAGAGAGAAAGAGTGGGTGACACAGAAAAGTTCCATGAGGACAAAGGACTTAGAAAATGTCGGATATACCCACATCTTTAGAGTAATCATGAAGGTGTTCACTGTTCATGGCATGTCACCTTCCTCATATATAGTAATCTATATCATTTGTTGTAATTTTAATTAAGTAATTTTAAACATGTTTCTCTCCAAAATAAATTTTTACTTCTGTGGAAAATCATGTTTAAGAAACAGTACAGGAAATGCACTAATGTCTTTCAGCCATCACAAGTAGCCTTTATGGTGGAGCATTGGACAGCTTGATTCATGTCTGAAGCAATCACTAACACATCACCTGGTAGCTCCTCAGGGGAGGAGAGTGTGCACAGCAGCACATACAAGATTGCAAACCCTTGCTTTGACTTCTTTCAGCTGGCTTGAACTACCATTATTCCTGTTTAAGTAACATGAGCAAAGATAAAGCTCTTCCAATATTTTATATACCATTGTTTTGTAAAAAGCATAAATACATATTTATCTTGAAATACATATGTTATCAAAGCATAAAATTTAAGTTATTCTATATAGAATATCTTCCTAGGTTAATTACCCACATAAATTGTCCGACCCAATTCTGCTCTTTAAGTGTGCAAGACGTAACACATGCCTATTTCAAAATAGTTAAAAATCTTGTTGTGTAACTTTCAGAAAGGTCAAAGGACTTTCCAGGTCATGTTTTCCTCATTTACGCTAAGTCTAGGGCACAGCTTTGCCCAGCATGTCATTGTGCATCACTAAATCACAATCATAGCCAGACCTCTAAACCCATTTAATCACCTAATGTACTCATCCCAAAGTCTCCATGTGGAAATCCACTTGGGAGAACTGAGTGTGTGAAACTTAGTACTTTTAGAAGTGTGTCATGTTTTGGAAAATGTGAAGTGGTTGGACAGAGTATCACTGGCATTTATTTGAATATCACTAACAAATAATAGATTAGAGACGTGAACTGACCTAGTAGGCTTTTTCTGACTGGTTGCAATTCCACTGTGATTACACTGAGCTGCATATCTGGCTGTCAGACTGTATGAGGAGAAACAGAGAAATTGAATTAAAGGGATTCTTCAAACATGGAAAGAAAGTGCAAACTTACAAGAAAGTTATGAGTTAATGAAATGCAATTGAAACACACAAACATATATAAAGAACAAATTAATCAGAAAATTATGGTAATGTAACATATATGAGTTTTGATAATGGATGCCCTATGAAGTAACGCAGCACACTTCTTACAGCAAAAAAATGCCTTATTGTTAACTTTACAGCTATGTTGTGAGATGTTAGACACTATAGATATTTAAATATTTAATAACATAATTTTATCTTATAGAAACTTAACCTTTAACTGACTGTGAAAACATTAAATAAACTAATGTTTCATTTATAAGAGTCCTTTCTTTAGAACAGTAAAATTAAGTAGAAGATGAGAGACTGGTCAACTCCAATTTGTTTTTTTAAACCAAATATTTTGAAAAGGAATTTATTAAAAACTGAGTTTATTACTCATACATTATTGTTCATACCTATTACTGCAATTACTACAATTTTAAAAGAAATTTACAATAATATATTATTTAAAGAAATCTGTGTACCACAATTCAAAATTACCTAGAGTTAAGTTCTAGCAAAAACCAAAATCCTTAAAAATATCTGATAATTCCTGAACATTCTTGATTTAGATTTAACAATTTCTTTTAGTGTGTATAGGTGTGTGTGTGTGTGTGTGTGTGTGTGTGTGTGTGTGTGTAGGGTGACTCATGCCATAGTATGATATCAGATATCAGAAGATAATTCTGGGATTGGTTCTCTCTTGCCCCCTTGTAGGAAGCTGAACTTAGATCTTCTAACATGTAAGCTAGTGCCTTTATCCACTGATCCACCACACTAGCCCCACAACCACTTTTTTAATCAAATACTTTGCTCAAAGAACTATAAGAAACCCTTACATTACTTAACCCAAACTTTGAAGAGATTCACTTTATCAACAAAAATACAAATTTTGTACTGCAAATTGATGCCTGTGCTGTTAAAACTTGAAGAGATAGTGTTTAGAAAAAAATTAGATTCAATATATACAAGTTTCTGATGGCACAACCACAGTAGGCAAGGGTAGAGCCTTCATGGAGAATCACCTCCTGGGTGAATAATACCTCTACATAATCACAAGTGGAGTGTATGAACACTCATTAGCAGTCAGATGGACCTTAGAATAGCACTGAGGTAGGTGGGCATTGGTGGTGCATGCCTTTAATCCCAGCACTCAGGAGGCAGAGGCAGGAAGATCTCTGTGAGTTCAAGGTCAGTCAGCCTGGTCTCCAGAGCAAGTGCCAAAAAAGGCTCCAAAGCTACACAGAGAAAAATCCTGTATTGAAAAACCAAAAAAAAAAAAAAAAAAAAGAATAGCACTAAGGTGCTAGCATCAGCTTAAAGAGTCACTAGAACCTAATTGCAACTGACCAATTTGTTCTGTTGCTGACCAGAGAGTATTTAGGCAAGAGAAACATTTGTTCTGATCATGTTTTATTCTCTAGGTCATTTCTTACTCTTCTGAACCAGCCTGAACCAGCCTGTGATGGGAATATGAGTAGCCTTATTGTAGGCTAAAGTACAGGGAACACAGTATCACATAGAAGGCACTTTCGTGTTAACAGAGTACATGCTTTTCATTATTTTATACTTGGTATTTTTAAATAAAACAATCTGTATTTTAACTATATCATGAACTGAGACAGGTAGCCACATTTCTTTGGTGTCAAAAATATCATCAAATAAACTAAAAAAGAATAAACTGTTTCAATGCAATCAGATGGAAATTAATTAAATATAAATAAATTTTAAAATGCAAGCAAGGTGAAGAAATCCCTTGATTTTTGGAGTTAACTTGTAAATCCTCCAGTAAAAGACCATCTACAATTTAGTGACTCCTTATTGTATTTTCCACACTGAACATAGACAAGAGCAGTGAAGATGATAACAAAGGGTTTTCTGATAACTAAAGCTAGTTCATCTTTTCTATGTTTAATTTTTAAATAAATAATACAAATATTGGTATTTAATTAGGAAAAGGCAATAGGAAATCCCAGTGCTTTTAAGTGATTTAGCTAAAATGAGTTTGGCTTTATGGGTATGTTTTTGATTTTCTCTGACAGAATACATCACATGCTGACTATTTTTGTCCCCAAACCTCTTAAATCCTTAATTCCTTAATTCAATTCCTTGATATTTAGTATCTTCCATTAATCTCTTGCCTTTATGAAACTATTGTGCTTTTATTTCTGCTTGTTTACTGAGGCATGATCACACTTTGTATGTAGATCACAATGGCCTGCAAAATGCTATGTAGCTAAGGCTGAGCTCTAAGCCATCATCCTTTATGGCCATTATCATAAGGGCTGAGGTTATAAGTAAGGCCTATTGCTAAGGTGTGTGAGGTCATTATCTTGAACAACACTGGGTTTTTGTTTTTTGTTTTTCATTTTCACTGCTTTCTAATGTCTCAGTACCAACCACGTTGTCTGTTACATCCTCTCCTGTCACAGTTACGTGGCCTGTACACTGCCACTCTTGTCTATTTCTCATATGTTCATTGCATCTTTCCCTCAAGTCTTACAGGCATGATTTTCTCTGCACAGCGCATGTCCCCTTTCCTCAATGTTATCTCCTTACTTCTGAGATTCCAACTAAATTTCTAGAACTAACATCTTCATACTACAATATTCACATCAAGCATTTAAAAGATTTGCCCAGTTACACGATCTTCATGCTCACCCACCACAATGAACTGTTTGTCTCCATTCATCTCCAAAGTTCCCATGTTTTATTTATTTATTTATTTATTTATTTATTTATTTATTTATTTATTCTTATGCATAGGATCATGATTTACTCACGTGTGTTCAGAACTGATTTTCCCTTTCCCTCTCAATAACTGCAGAGTATCACTGTCAGTATCTAGTCCTGTCATAAGACCTCTACCTGCCTCTAAGTGCCCCTCTAATCCTAATGTTTATCACTGACTCATTCTCTTAGTGTTTTTATAAATCACAGGTGACCAATCACCCTGGCATCACTCAGGACTCATAAGAAATATACAATCTCAACTCCCACCCCATGCATCTTAAATCAGAACTTGCATTTTCACAAGGGCCTCATTATTTTCTCTGTATAATGAATCTTACTTCCACAGTAGAACATAAGCTCATTTAAGTTGCTCTGTTATAAAGTACATAGATACTTTGAGAACAGTTTACTTTGAAGTAATTAATAAATAAGATAAAAGCTTTCCATTCCTAAGTTTTTAAAGTGAAGAACATGCATAGCTACAAGGATATGTGATTTAGTGCTATGCTCCTGTTGTTATAATAACATTATTTGAATTCATGAAATAAAACAATGAATGAATCATGAAAAAAGGTACTTAGTGACTATGACCATGTACTGACACAACATCTAAAGATTTAATTTATTAAAATTAGGGTTAAATGGCAATAAATTATGATTTGATTACAGAAATATAGCCCCTAAAACCATGTATGTTAATTTATGGGTTCTCCATAAAAGTACAGTTGGAGATATATAATGGATGGAAACTACATTTATTTCAAGCTTAGGTATAGAAACACAGAAATGCAAGCCAAGTGGGCAGCAAGTGATATGTGAAATATTTACTCTGGAACAATAAACTAAAAGTGTAGGAATAAAGAGCTAGTACACTGTTCACAACACAGACACTGGAGGGTCATTTGTCGATGGCCCAGTGGGGCAGTTTGAATGTAATTGGCCCCTAAAATCTCATAGGAGTGTCACTGTTAGGACACATGGCTCCGTTGGAGTGAGTATGGCCTTGCTGGAGGAAGTGTATCATGGTAGGGGTGGGCTTTGACATGCCCTATGCTCAGTATACTGCACAGTGTGTTAGTCAACTTCATGTTGCCTGCAAGCTGTAGGACTCTTAGCTATTCCTCCAGCACCACATCTGCCTGTACACTGCCCTTTTCCCTGCTATGATGATAATGGACTGAACCACTGAAACCGTAAGTGAGCCAACCCAATTTAATGCTTTCTTTTATAGGAATTGTCATGGTCATTGTGTCTCTTCACAGTAATAGAAACCCTAAGATAACCACCTACTCTCTCTGCCTATATCATCATCTGTTAAACGAGGTTGATAACTTTATGTATACCAACTTTTGTGAGAATTTAATTACACATGTCTAAGAAAAGTATTTGGGACATGTCTAAAAACTGAAGCTAACATGTAACAGAACTCAGATTCACACTGAAGAATTCCTAAACAGTCTAAAATTCTCATGAATCCTTTAAAATATGACATTCTTTATTTCTTGAAAATAACCCTGCCTCTCTATGCTTCATCATCTTCCCAAAACCACTTCTTTTGTTGTATGCAGGTCACTTTTGATGCAGCAGTATTCATACTCACGAGTTCACAAGTATGGTCCTTTCCCTTCAATGTCTGATACTTCAACTATGGCTCATTGTCTCTAAAGTGACACTACCTTCCAATATTACAGGACATTATTTACTCTTCTTAAATTCTGAAGTGGGCAATATGAACCCCCAAAGGACCTTGCCCTATAGTGAATCAGCAGATGCTGCTTTAATAGGAACCTAAGAACCACCAATTCCCAAAATAACTCTTAAATCTATACATAATCCAATGGTGCTATACTTCAGGCATTATGTTTTGTTTTATGTTATAGAGATTAAATGAAAATATTTTGATAAGTCATAAAGTATATTTATAAAAAATATTGTATTTCAACAAGTTTTATGTATTTATAATGTGTTCATGTTCAAAAATTCACAAATAGTTTAAAAGCCTGAATTAAGCCCATTCCACATAGAGGGATACTCTTTCAGACTAGATACATGGGGGAGGGCCTGGGCCCTGCTCCAAATGATATGACAGACTTTTCAGATCCCCCATTAAAGGTCTCACCCTCCCTGGGGAGCAGAAAGGGAATGGGATAGGGAGTTGGTCGGGGGCAGGGGAGAAGGGAAGG